CCCCAAAACCCCAAAACCCCAAAACCCCAAAACCCCAAAACCCCTTGTCAGCCAGAATAGTTGGATTAATAAATTATTTTTATAAAATTTAAACTTAGAAGAAATAAAATACAATGGCTTGCCAACTAGAGACCATTGAGTTCATGAAGGATAAACTCAAGGAAGAAAAGAAAGCTGGAACAGTGACACTCGACTTCTACACGCTGATGAAAGAAATCTTTAATAGGATTATGCTATACCACCAACATGATTCTTTTGATAGATTGGAGGAGATCTCACAATTAATTAAGAAGACTCATTTGAAAATTAAGGATCCTCTGAAGGATAAAGATGCTAACAAGAACACTCCAATTATGAAAAGTAAAATTATTGCCAGCTATATCTGAGAACTCAAGAGATTGATCAAAGAATCTGTCCTCCTTGCTGAAGAAGACATGGGATTAGTAGAAAAAGAAATTAAATGAGTCATTGATGATTTCCCTTCCACTATGAAAATGTTTGAATGGGCAGGAATTTCCTTCGGACAATCAGAAAGTTTTAGAATTTATAAAGCTATGAAAAGACTTGCTAAAGTAAGTGGAGCTACTCAACTCAGATTCTGGGGGAAATACCTTGGTAGACAGAGAGACTATTTTGTAATTGAAGGAAAACTTCCTTATTCTGAGGAAAGTAAAGCTGCTAATGGAGCTGAAGATCGTGGAAAAGGAGTAAATACATGTGTCTACTGGGTGACAGATAATCTTCTCGGTGATTGGATTCAGCTACCAGATTCTGAGCCCCAATACATCATAGCAGCGAGGAATATAAAATATATTGTCACTGGAAATCTCAACGCAGATTTGAATACCAATCCTGCATTTCCTGGAAAAGAGAGGCATTTCTTGAGAGCACAGATTGCTCGTATATCGCACACCACCTCCATTGTTCCAAAGGACTATATGCAACCTCATGAGGAAAATGATAGGGAGGTAGTGCTAAACGAAGAATTCTCTGCTCCAAGTGCAACTGATCTCAATAGTACTGAGAATTGGGTCCACCAGTTCCAGAATATCCTACTTGCTGGAAGAGCTGAGCACACTCCCCCAAATGTTGGAGAAGATGAACTTGAAGAAGCTATGGGAGAGCTCGAAAACAAGGACCCTTTTATTGAGAGATTAAAGCCAGTCAATGAAGACCTCAAAGTTTATAAGGACATCGAAGGAGCCTGGAGCACCAGACTAGTGGGAAATATTCAACAATATCAAGCTGAAGAAGAAGGAACTACTAGCTATGTCTGTTGAGAAGTAAAGTCTCTCAGATGGAAAGGAGCTACAACAATTACCCAAAATGGTAGATGGGCTAGTCTCTATATTGGCTATGGTATCAAGACTGGAGATGTATGCTTCAAGCCAACTTCTCCTGAGGAGATAATGAATGACCCTGAAGAAGCAGTTGAGCAACCAGAGCCAACTCCTTTGGAAGCTCCACCACAACCAGAACAGCCTGCTAATGAAGGGGAAGGAAAGCCAGAGGCAGAAGGAGATCAAGAAAATGCTGAATAAATATTTTAAATTCTCAAATTTACCCACATTTGAGGGGTTTTGGGGTTTTGGGGTTTTGGGGTTTTGGGGTTTTGGGG